TTTTTTTTTTTTTTTTTTGGTTTGTTTTAGTTTTGCTTTTCTTCCCTAAGTGTGCCTGTTTGCTATTAGAGGAATAAGTGCATTATGACCCCTCTCTTAACAATCACTTTATTTGCCTCTCAGAGAAATGAGCTATGTTGTCTAATCATGGGTAGAAGGAAAGTTGAAAAAGAATGCCTTACATATTCATGTCACTGTAATCAGATCAGATTTATTAAGAAGTTGACGGTTTCCATCTTTTTAAAAAAAAAATTATAATATGATAAAGGATAATGCCATGGTGACATCCAATTGTTTTACAGTGCTTCTTTCCTGGGGAAAATCAAACTGTTTGGGTTTGAAATAAAATAATCTTAATAAAACCCATGCCAATAAGAAAGGCCTTTTCTGATTGCTATCCCCCCCCCCCCAGCCCCCTCCCATACTCACTAGATCCAGTAGCTTCCTTGACTTCAATAGATTTAGTCCTGGCATTTGATTGTCATTAGTAGAAATATTATTCAGGGAAATTGATAATATTCGGAGAATCCACAATGTGCCAGGCGCTGTCCATTGTACAGGGAGGCATAGCTTCTGCATCAGAGGGGGTTTAGGGAGGAAAAAAACCCAGAGGATGAGACATGCTGAAAACACATACCACATTTATATAGGTCCATTAGTGCTTTTTTTAAATGAGCAAGTCAATGCCCATCAGCTCTCTTCCACTGAACCTCTACCTACCCATTTGCTGGTTAATGTTACACAGGCCTAGAAAAGCATTGATGTAGGAGATTCAGGGCCCAAGCATTCATTTTTCTTTTGCTAAGCTATTGATGGCAGAGCCTATCTGGTTAGGATGTCTAGTCTTATGTGTCCTCATGTTATATTCCCCCCACGTTCTCTTTCTCTCTCCAGTTCCGGTTCCTCCAAAATCTGTCACTTCTTTGATGATGAATAAAGATGGCTTCCTGGGTGGCATTTCAGTCAATACTGGAGAGGTGTTTTGCTCAGTACCTGGCCGCTTGTCCTTGCTCAGTTCAACTTCAAAGTATAAAGTAACAGTGGGAGAAGTTCAAAGACGCCTCTCTCCTCCAGAATGTCTGAATGCTTCCCTGCTAGGAGGAGTGCTTAGAAGGTAAGGGCTTGACATAAGTGTGCATGCGCACCTGTGTTTTTATATATGCATTGCACAATACTGTCTGCAGTGAATACATTTGCAAATGTGGGAAATGGTATTTTTGAGTCTTGTGTATATAGCACTCAGGTAAAGTAAAAGTTAGACCTGGCATGCAAGCATAGAAATGGAGGAGGCATCATGGTTAGTGGAAGGTCGGTCTGCTGAGGCACCTGAGATGGTTTCTATCCAATGGGATCATAGTCTCTCAAGCATAGACAGGTTAGCACACACTTTTTCTTCCCAACTTCCCATTTCTCCCTCTCTTTTTTTCTCATTGGAAAGTGGGATAAGAGGCAGCATGTTTTTACTGCAGCTGAATAATTTGTTTTCTTTCTTTGAGGACTAGTTGTCTAGAGAAGGGAAATGCAGTAGATCCAATCTCTCTGGACTTGAATATATAATTAAATAAGGTCCTGCATGGGAAATGATTTGTGAAGCTGGAGAAGATGGAGATTGGTCAAAGACCTGAAAGGTGTTTAGGGGGTAGACTTGATGATCTGCTCAGGACCCTTCCAACCCTACCAACTATGAAACCTGATAAAGGAGGCTTGACAAAGGGTTGTGTTGAAAGAGAAGTATTGGGCTGGAGAGATGTTGCTGGTGGAGTTCTTCATAGACAACTCTTGGGACTGAATTTTGATATTTTCATTAATGACCATGGTACAAAAAGTAGGATGGAGTTGATGAAATTTGCTGGTGACACTAACTCTGGAGGCATTGTCAATACTGGCTTGGGGTAGCAGAGGAGGACTGGGGTATCACTGAAGAAGAAATGGATGATCTTGAGGGCTAGAGCAATATAAATGGGATGCAACACAGTAGTACAAAATGGAAAGTCAGAGACTTAAGGAGTAATAACTAGAGTTCCTGCTATAAGCTGACCATTCATCAGTTGGGAATAAGACAGGAAGAGAAAGGCTGGGGTATACCATCAGTTCCAGGATGATGAGTTGGTATGTCTGAGAAACAGGCCGCTGTGATCCCAGGACATACCTGTGGAGGTTTTTCCAGTAGAGATAAGGAAGTAATTTAGAACATTATACAAGGCCCTGCTGAAGCTTTGGGGTGTGCACAGTTTTGGCCACTCCTTTTCAAGAAAGATTCATTCAAAATGGAAGAGTGGCAAAGATGTGCTAAAAGATAGAGGATGGAAAGCTTGTCTTACAAGATGATAATTCAAAGAGCTTGGCTTGTTTATCCCAGCAAAATGAAAGCTGAGGTGTAGATGCTTATAAACCCTCCAGAATAGTACAGAGCAGGGAAGCAGAGCTATGTAAACTAAGGGGCAAAGTTGGCAGAAGGACAAATGGGTATAACCTATCCATTAAAAAAGCGTGGCTGAAAATTAGAAGAAGGTTTCTAACCAGGGAGCTGCTGGAACAGCTTTCCAGTAGGAGCAGTGGGGATAAAGACACTAATCCATTTTAAAATGGAGCTGGTTACATTTATGAAAGAGCTTCTATGAAATGGTTACCTGCAACACCTGGGGACTCACATTGATAATGTAGGAGATCCCTTCCCGGTTTGCCTTCCTCTATGCTCTCTGACATATACACCCCCCTCCCCCCAATGTACATTCTTCCACCCACCCTAAAAGCTTCTTTTTGGAGAATTTCCTCTCTTTTTTTGTCCAAATAAAAAATCTTTCCTCTAAGTTCCTCTAGTGAAACTTCAGCTGTGATCTCTGCCAGTAAAGGAAGCAGAGGTTTTTACTCAGACGTGCTAACCTGCTTCTAGTTCTGTGTAATCCAAAGTGGAACATAGCAAACAGGTGAATAAGACGTTGACAACAGGAAATATAATTAGCAAGGTGAAGAGCCATCGCTATTGAGCTTCTGTGGATTTCTGAAGGGGGCTGAAGTGGTTGTAAGCAGTGGCCACTGCTGAATTTATTTTCTAGCTTGAAACTGCATTTTTTATAAGCTTTGGATGTCCAGCATATGAAATAGAGATGGATATTCTCTTACAGCACCATCACTGATTCTCTCTACCTCGGTACAAAATACTGGAAAATCAGAGTCCTTGTCAGGGCGACTTTCTGTCTGTAACTGTTCATTCCTGACCAGTTCCAAAATGTGTTAGTCATGAGATAAGGGGTAAAATCCTGCCCATTTTGACATCTGCAGCCAGGCTCCCATTGATTTCATTTGAGGCCTGGATTTCTTCATTGGTGTTTAAACCATAAGCACACAACTATATATGTCCTATCAATAACTACCTTTCCCATGTATATGGGAAATTTTCAATTATATATATTCACACAGACACACACACACACATATAGATGGATAGATAGATTTATATAGAATTATCTATACACATGCTATATCTATCTATCTAGATATATATATTGTACTCTTTACTTCCTCATCCCCACCAAACATCTCAACACACCCACACCCTGCCCACACTTTTTTTCCCTTTAGATGCCTCAAGCAATAATTATTATTTCCCTATATGCAGTAGTGTTTCTCTAGATGTCTCTATAGCTAGTTCAACATTTTCTGTATACCTATGTGTATGTGTGTACATGTATATGTACATATCTTCATTGACGTCTTCCTTTAGATGGTCTTAAGAGTCTCATTCTTTCTCTCCCCCCTGCTTTTTCTCTACATATATCCTCTATTATTAATTATATCTATATTCCTAGATATTTCTCAATGTCCTTCCCTCTTCCCCCCCCGCTTTTTACCTGTTTGATTCTTCTCCTCCAGGTTATACCCCTTCTGTTTTCCTCTCTCCTTCCATGCATGCACATGGGTGTGTATACATACATACATACATACATACACATATCCATCCATCCATCCATACACATACACATACACATACACATACACATACATACATATACATACATACATACATATATATATATTTATATATAATCTTAATGTATCTTAGCCTTATACAGTTAGGAATCAAATTGCCTTCTCCAGTACCAGACACTGAGAAATTATTTCCATCTGGCATAATTTGTTTTCCTTAGATGAAAGGGGAGGGCTATCCCCTTTTGTGTATGTGTGTGTGTGTGGTGAGAAATTAAGCAAACCTCAGCAAACCCTGTTAGAGAGAAAAAAAACCACATACCCCCCTTCATCCCCCCACCTCCCTCCTCCAGACTCATGCAAAATGTGCTAACCTCAAGTTAAAACCCCTTCAAGCTCCAGTGGTCTTTAGATTGCACAGCCTCCAAGTTTGTTCCAGGGACCACTCCAGGTTAATCAGCATGTTCATTTCTTTGCAATTCCAGAGCCAAATCGAAAAACGGGGGGAGATCGTTGAGAGAAAGGCTAGAAAAAATCGGTTTGAATTTACCAGCCGGCAGGCGCAAGGCGGCGAATGTCACTTTACTCACGTCCCTGGTGGAAGGTAAGCGGAGCACCCAGCTCCTGGCTGCTCAGCTCTCCCTGGTGGGGTCAGGGGCTGGCATTTTGCAAAGGTGCATGGATGGACTCGGTGGAAATCGTTGCAGACGTCGCAGTCAGGGCTGTTTATAGCGTGCACGATGCTGGGCCAGATGCAAGCCCTCGTCTGACTCCCCAGCAATCCGCTGACCCACCTGGAAGCTGGGACTTAAACTTTTTCCTGCAGACGCCCGTAGCCCCCTCCTTGAGCTAGGGGCCTGCCCTGTGCCGGGTCTCGAGCTCCGGGTCACCTCTTCCAAGCTCGTTTATGACAGATCCGTTGCCCCCCTTACAATGCATCCATTGAACAGGCTTGCTATAAAACGCCTGGTTGTTTCCTCCAAGGAAAGAAATCCTTGCAAACGAGCAGTTAACTTTCGGGTGCCCAAGCAAAGGGATAAGCCATCCTTTCTTAAAGGAAAGCGAGAGAGAGGAGACAACTATTTGAATGTCACCTATTCAAATGAATCAACGTCATTCAGGTACTTTGATGCGCTGCTGTCTTGCTGGATGGTGGCTTTTTCTGATTCTCGTTTCGTTAAGATGCATGTGCATTTATTCTGGGGGTTGTTTTTTTCCTTCAGAAGCCCTCATGAATTCAGTGGGTCTAATTATGAATCCAGTTTATCTGTGTTGAACCTACACACAGGGAGGAGAGTAAATAGACTAATAAAATCGTAGACATTTAGGGGTGGAAGGGACCTCAGGAGTTCACATCTAGTCCAACCCCCTGCTCAAAGCAGGACCAGCCCCAACTACATCTTCCCAGCCAGGGCTTTGTCCGGCTGGGTCTTCAACACCTCCAAGCATGGAAATCCTCCACCTCTCGGACTCTTTGAAAAATAAAACCACTCCATAGGTAGTATCCTGTCTACGTGTGCAAGCACACAAACAGGTGTGCGATGGAGTCCCTTGGAAACGCTGCTGATATAGTTGCGGGATACCCACGTGTATACACGTGCAGTCCAAAGCACAACTGGGTTTCCTGCGAGAGAAGCGAGCACCAGTGGCTCCGTGCAGCGTCCGGGGGGGGGGGGGG